CACAGAATTCTGTGAACGCAAAGTTTTCAATATAGGTCTGTTTTATAACGGGAAACTTGACAGTCGAGCTCTAGACCCTTGAAAATGGTCAATATGGAGAGAGAGAGAGAGAGAGAGAGAGAGAGAGAGAGAGAGAAATAGAATTCGAAAAATTTATTGGAAAAATAAAAAAAAATTATCAGTCCTTTTTTGTTTTCTTCCCTTTTATTGATTTGGTGCCTCTCAAAGTATCGTCCTCTTTCATTTTCTCCTTTTGTTCTTCGTTCATTTCTCTGGAAGAAATTATTGCAGATTTTTCAGAATCTCCCGAATTCCAGACTTTAGGAATTTCGAAATTTCAGAATTTCGAAATTTCAGAGTTTCCGAATCTGCAAATTCCTCAAAAATCTTTAAAAAACTTACTGCGTTTTCGTTTTCTCATTATTCTCCTGATCCTCAGTTCTGGTACGAGTATTTCCACCTGAAAGTTTTCATTTTCCAGAATTTCCTGGAATTTTCAAAAATTACCATTTTTCTCAATTTCCTCCTTGTTATCCACCAATCTAGTACATTGCTAAAAAATATACAAATTTGAAATTTTTGGCAGGAAATTTAAAAATTCAAACCGATTTTGTATTTTCTTTCCGTCCCGATCGATTATTGGCGATTTTTGATTTTTGTGGGAGCTCCTAAATAATTGCTGTTACAAAAATTGAATTTAAAAAAATCTTTATTTTTGATGTTTTATTAAAAAATATATTCAAAGAAAGTAATGATTTTCGAAAATCAAAAATTTGATAAATTTTTTTAAAGATGATAAAAATTACTGATTCAAAAAATTTGTTTGCAAAAATTCAGGAATTTGTACAATTATTTTAGAAATTTGGATGTTTTAAAAACAATTTCTGAAAAATTATACCAGATTTTTTTTGGGATTTCTTCAATTTTTTTGTCTGAAATTTTTATTGTTCTGAATTTCCGAAAAAATTCTGAATTTCTGAATTTCTGAATTTCTGAATTTCTGAATTTCCGAATTTCTGAATTTCTGAATTTCTGAATTTCTGAATTTCTGAATTTCTGAATTTCTGAATTTCTGAATTTCTGAATTTCTGAATTTCTGAATTTCTGAATTTCTGAATTTCTGAATTTCCGAATTTCTGAATTCCTGAATTTCTAAATTTCTGAATTTCTGAATTTCTGGATTTCTGAATTTCTGAATTTCTGAATTTCCTGGAATTTCTGAATTTTGGAATTTTTGAATTTTGGAATTTCTGAATTTCTGAAAGTTCTGAATTTCTGAATTTCCTGGAATTTCTGAATTTCTGAATTTCTGAATTTCTAAATTTCCGAATTTCTGAATTTCTGCATTTCTGAATTTCTGAATTTCTGAATTTCTGAATTTCTGAATTTCTGAATTTCTGAATTTCTGAATTTCTGAATTTCTGAATTTCTG